AGCTACTTCACCAAAAACCCATAAGCCTGAACTCTCTTCAAGGACTTCACAACTGTGACTAGTACCATGTGATGAGAGGTTATATACAAATTTATAAACTCAATCTACCATATAGCACAAATCCATGTATAATGGGTAAGGCAGTCAAGTAGTTCCTAATATAGTAGTAGTTATGTAAGGAAGAAGCTCTTCAATATTGGTATGTATAGAAGAGACTACGTACCTATGCTATGTCTGACTGTGTAGTTAAAAGTGCTATTTTATAGCCAGAAGTTAGACACATACGCGATAACTAAGTGGTTGCCATAGGGAATATCGGAAAGAAGTAGTACCTTAATCTGCTACAAAATAAGGAACTACGGCTACAAAATATTTGCTACAAGATATGGAGTATATATGTATTGGCTACTAACTACCTCCTGGGACATAGTATGCACTACCTCCAATAATGATACTAACATTATATTTCTTCAATTATTTGGTACAATTTCAAGAATCTTGTTTAGTCACTTTTGTTTTTTAGATAATTACTCCAAAAATATTATTTTTAAGTTTTCTAGTTAAGTTTAATGGTGGTTAATAGCATGCTTTTTACATACGTGCTTTAATTTTGGTGAGAAGGTGAATATAATGATTATGGAAGTATCAACTAGGTATAATCTCTTATATAGGAATAAGTAGTTGATATATTCTACCAACAATTGCAGTTATCTTATACAATAAATGTGTTAATTATTTCATCTTTGTCTTAGTTTTGCATCTTTAATCTTATGACTTTACTTCTCAATTATTAGGGATTAGATTCCATATTATGCCTATTTGATTACTGAAATGTCACAATTTTCTCCCCTTACCAGAAACATATGCATACTAAAGATTTCTTTCTATTAAAATGTTGAATTCCAAGCGAATAATGTACTTCTTTTGTAGATTTTATACCTCAAGTTGCTAAAATTTTGTTCCAGACATTCCATCAAGCTAAAGTACAATTATTTCTAATAACGTAACAGTAGAAGTGCATGTTATTCCCAGCCATGAAAATAGTATTTTCTCTCTATTTTTTTTTCCTTGGCAAACTAGAAGGAGAAAGGACTCGAACACAGGAAGCTGGCCACTCTATCAATTAGGCCACTGGGTGATACTCTTTTCTCTATAGAATGAACAAGTTGACTGAAAAATAATTTAGGATAAGTAGATTATTGTTGATTAATCAATCTCATTTTGTTGGATTTGTCTTACTAATAATGGTGTCTATGCAAAATTTCATTTTGTAGCATATGTGGATGATGTTTCTTTGTGTATGTTGAGAATTAACAATGTAGGACAAAGGGCTAGCTATGTCATTAAATTTGTTTGCTAGAAGGCATGGACTTTGGTATTGATCATCCCAATCTTTTATAAAAGTTTAAGTCATTGCTTGGACTTTTTAAGTTAAGATGTAGGTTAAATTAGGCTAGAACACAACAATTTTGAACTGTCCATTATTTGGTAGCAGAGAAAATAAGGAAAGAAGAAAAACTTTAAGATTAACAAGTTTCTATAAAGGAGTAGAATTGTTACAAGATTCCATGTTTCCTAATTTCTTCTTGTTTTCCCAATTTCTTGGCAACCAAACATAGGATAAAGTATAAGGACTTAGGAAAAGATTGGTTGAATGGACTTGTATCCAAATTTTCAGATTTTCCAATAGTTATTAGGAAGCCTTTTTATGCATAATGTACAGTTTATTGCAAATTTCAATCACTTGTGAAAGTAGTACAGCAATTATTGAACCTTTTTTTACTATTTCGTTGTTATTATTGTATATATGTTTGAATATTGTTGATGTAGCAAGTCTCATGATTGTTTTTTCCTTTATACCTTATGTGGATACATAATTTGAAACTTTGAACTAGCATTTAGAGACATCGTAGAGCATTCCTTGGCAGATTATCCTGTTAATTTAAGTTTTTCATGCGTTTCACCTATCTTTTAGATTTGATATTCATTTGTTTACAGAAAAAGAAGTCAATGGTCCAAATTTAATCAACAATTAAAACTAAGAATCTACAGTCACACAGACACATTTTCTCAATCTTTTGCTCCAACAGTGAGAAGTTGCAAAGCATGACGCGCGTATTTTATTTTGACTAACAATTATGATAACAAGGCTCCAAATTTCCCATCCTCCAGAACTTCTTAAGAACTCAATTCATTTATGCGAACCGAGCTGAGTAATTGGTTTATTTGAGTGAGTCAAGTTTGATCACAACTGTTAAAAAATTAACCAAGCTCAAACTAAGCTCAGACACTGCTTCTAACCAGCCAAGCTGAGCATAAGCTCTATAAAGTTGGCTTGACTCAGCTTGTTTACAGCCTACGAAATGGCTGATCTCATACTTAAATATGTCTCCTTATAGTGGCCAGTTTAAGCTTTCACCATGTCACCTGACCCCTTTTTTTTATCAAATATATATATATATATATATATATATATATATATATATATATATATATATATAAAGTAGCATTTTGAATACTAAAGAGTTGAACTATCACAAAAATATACTAGGCCATGTAGAAATTCCCACGTCTTGAAGAACCGGCTGGCTGGTGATTGTCCCTTCCACTTCCAAAACCTTTTCTCCTTTTGCTGATCGAAATGCAGAAAGGAGAGATGACCCTGATTGGGTCTTCAATTTTCTTATTGCCCTTTAAGAAAGACAAAAAAATTAATATTTAGAAGTTGGATTTGATGTGACCTTATTTATAAATTCATTATAGGATAAATTATTTAAGCTTGAAACTTGAACGGAGACTCAAGAAAACGTCATCAGAATATCTCCCATCAGTTAACTGGACTCATGTACACATATTTTTCTGAAAGTAACATGTATGTGTGAGATTTGTCAAACCACCAAATTACAAATTCTGAGTTTCAACAAGAGTATATCTAAAGAAAACAAGGGTTGAAGTAGTTTTTAGTTTAGCATACAGTTGCCAGTTTGAAGAGAGCCTTGCATTCCTAAGCATGCTAACTCTATTTTCTTTCATTAATTCTTTCTTTATTTCTTTGTTTCTGATGCACACTTTCTTATTTCTTTACACTTAGAATAGCCTTCCTTAATTTACAATTATAGTAACATAAAAGCTAAAGCATGTGGTTCCTATTTTGTAGCATAACTACTGCATAAGACTCAGCTTAAATGAAGACTGGACTTATAAATTTGAATATCTGTGTCATGTTCGATTTTCTATTAATAGTTAATAAGTTGGTGTATATGTCTTAAGATGACTGTTCGTGTTCATTCTAGCTTCTCGTGTTTATGGTTATCTTGTTCTGAGATTTGTAACTGTAATTCTTGTTTTGCAAACTAAATCCTATTTGGTGAAAATTTTTATGATCTTTTTTATATACTTTTTTTTTTATTTATGAATTTTAGTTATAAATATTTGTGAAGATAATGACTGAAACAGGATCTCCCTTTGCAGGATTTGAAAGACTAATTGGTAAATTTGGGTTGAACTTTAGTCTTGAACAAGCTGAAGGCCCTTATTGTGGATTATAATTTTTACAATTGCAGCACCCTACGGTCTTACCATTTAGAGTGCTTTCATCACTTCATACTGGTAAGTCATATCTTTAATTATTTAAATATATATATATATATATTTTTTATTCCAGTTTTTTTCATGCTAATAATAAATTGGATGTTAACCGCATGAAGCATAAATCTGTCAATTAAGACAGGCACCCAATTGTATATGAAACAAAGTACAATATAAAGTAACAAAATTTATTAATATATAAACAACAAAATTTTCATTTTTTTATTTTTTTATTTTCTTTTGTGTGTGTGTTTTTGTGTTTGAAGGTTGAAAGATTTGTGTAGTTATTCAGTTGTAGAAGCAACAAAAACACTTCCAGTGCTTCCCAAAAATAAAAATCATCATTATCATGGTGTTGTCATAAAACTTTATTTGAAAAAGGATAATTCTTAACTTATTTATTTGACTCGAGAAACTGATGTTATTAATATTTGTGGGCCAATTTGGGTGCTTAATTGGTAACTGATTGTGTGTTTGAATTTTGAATGTCCTAGATTCAAAGGGGGAAGCCACATAAACTTACACTGAGAATGGCATAGACTTTATAAGTTGTAACCTTCCAGCACAAAATGAGTAGTTGGTAGTCCAAAACTCCTCAATTAAAGGATCACAGTGCTGCTTATTCAGTCTATTATACAATAATAAAACTCCCAAATATCTAATTGGGAGGGTCCTAATAGAGAAATTAAGCTTTCTGAGAATTAGGTTTTGAGTAGCAGTCTCTATACCAGATCAGAATATGACACCTCTTTGCATTATTTGGAATCAAGCTAGAAATAGAAGTTAAAACTAAATTGAGCTATTGATTCTGTCAGTATTTTAACAGATTCAACATCCCAGCTGCGATTAACATAAGATCATCAACAAAAAGGTCCATTACTTATCCTCTGAGCTGAGCATTTCCAATGGTAATCAAAACCCCCTAGAGTTATTCTCTAATTAAAAATACGAGGTAGAACCTTCATTCCTATAACAAATGGTATGAGGACATTGGATCCTTCCTCCTTCCCTTATTAGGTAAACCATACAACCATTAACATCCAAGGAAAAGAACTTTTCAACAATTTCAATAAAAGAAATAAAAATAAAAACTGTAAGTGTTTTTTTTTTTTCCTTTTATCTATTCGATTGGGTTAAGTGATGCTTTATATATGCTTATTTTTGTGTGTTTTACCTATCATTAACGTGCTTAGTTGGATTAATTCCGAAGAATGTGTATTGAATTAATGAATTAGGAATATATGAGTACTCCCAAGTGCCTTTGTAAGCTAGCAGATTTGAGATTGAATCTTTTCAACATGTAATGTGTAGAAGTGCAAATTGGTAAATTTAAGTTGGACTGTTATGTCCATATATGTGCTCTATCCTTCCTTTTTGTATCTAATGTGCCTGTGTTGGTAATTTATTTGTAGATGTTGAATACCTGGTGTTCTCCAAATAAATTTAAGGAAACGGTTTGCAATTTAAGTGAAGACAAAAAGGTTGCCGTACAAGAGATTGGGTTTGGGTCCCTTTTAGACATCGAGTGTACCATTTTGAAGCGCAACCTGTGCTTATGGTTGGTAGAACACTTTGACCCTAGAACATCTCATCTCACCCTTGAATCTGGCGCTTGGATCCATGTTACGCCAAGTGACGTTGAAGAGATACTTGGCCTACCCTCGGGAAGAGGAGAAGATGTGCCAAATTATATTGTACAAAGTGTGCATTGGTTAGAAAATGGCATTTTTTTAAAGGACGGTGTAATAGAAGTGCCAAACTTAGTGCATCAATTAGACGTTCTTCCTGTTGGGGATGACTTCAAGAGGGCTTTTGTCCTTTTCGCTTGCGGATCACTTCTAGCACCCATATCGAAAAATGAGACAAGCAAAAGGTTATTGGAAGCGGTTGACAATGTGGATGCTATTAAATCGTATAATTGGGGGAAGTTTGTTTTAGATTGGTTGAAAAAAGGAATTGCGTCCTATAAAGGAAAGGAAGGAAGAGAAGGTTGTACATACATACATGGATGCTTGTTCTTTCTCATGGTATGTTCTAAGATATAATATTTGTAATGTGTCTATCATTTTATTTTAAATAGCTATAATGTCATTATCATAATGGCTTATATGTTGTAGCTTTTCTACCTACACCGTGTGGATGTCAATGGACCAAAACCGAAGCCTGAGATGTCATGCGTACGTGGATGGACCAACAAATTAATAGGCGAGAGGTTGAATTTGGAGAAGCATAAATATAATGGTTTCGGCTTCGGTGAGGTAAAGTTTACAACTGATACATCTGAAGATGCCGATAAGGTAATCACGTCAATTATGACTTTTTATAATTGGTACTAAATATACGGTTATATTTGCATATTCATAATTACTTGGAACTCTACGGTTACATTTATATATTAACTGATATATATATTTATTAAACTTGTTTAAAATTGTTAGGAGTTGGCATATGAAATTATTAAAGTTGTTAAGAAATGGAAGCAACGGCACAATGTAGGCCAAGGCAGGGGGTCGAGATCCTCAGAACCCAGTTCATCCACACGACAACCTAACCCATCTTCGCAATTGTTTGCACAACACAATCCGATTGAGGAGGAAGATGAATCCCACATACCAGTGGAGGAGGAATTCGAAACCTCCACAAGACAAGCAAACTCACCCTGGTAATCTTTTACAAAACACGATCCCATGGAGGAGGAAGGAGAAATCCCCGCACCAATGGAGGAGGAAGTGGGAACCTCCACAGCAATGGAAGAGGAGCGTGATGTGCAGGAAGCAGTGATCCCTTTATTACGTGTTATAAAGCCTGGGCGCCATAAGGGATCACCTTGGGTTGAAATGAAGGTCAACCGATTGCGTGTCCTTCGTCCAGAAGCAAAGGCAGTCATCTCATATGCCATGGATGAGAGCAGAAATGATGAGTGAGAAATTATATAAATAATTTCTTATTTGCTCTATATTTACTTACTTTCTATGCTCAAACACTTAATATGTTATTGTTTAATTATAGTGAAATGCTGGTGAACATAAATGATATTTTCCTCACAAGAAAAGAGATGAGAACAATCTCTTACAATCATTGGATATCAAATATGGTATGTTCACTTAAAGTTCATTGATTTTTCAAACCAATCACACGCATGCATTAATGGTTTAAATGTGATCATTGTAGGTGGTTGAAGTCTATTGCCAAATGCTCCAGCTGAAACAAAAGCATAGAGGAACCAAATTTTTCTTTCCGCCTTCGATTGGGGTAAAAAATTCTTCTATCTATAGTGAATGTTTGTTTAACACATATTAGGTTATCAATTGTGTGCATTTTCAGATTGAACTTTCCAAGATACCTTCAAAAGTGGTTGATAGGAAAGGTAAAATACAAGCAGTTTGGAACAAGTATAAAAGGATAAGGAATGTCGATGATAACAAAGTTTGCCAATTCAATATGGTAATATTTATCGCTTGCAAACATAAATAATTATTATACTTTTATCAAAAAAATATGATTCTAAAAGTAATTAAATTTTTACATTGTTAAATATGCAGCTTTTCTTTCCAATACTTGTAAATGAGAAACATTGGTGCTTGTATGTCTTTAACATTTGCGATAGTCGTATGGATGTGTTGGATTCAATGAAGCAATGTTCGCATGATAAGCGTACTCCAGACAAGATGTCAAAAGATTTGGTAAACGCTTATTACATATGAGCTCATTTTTTTGATTATGTATTCATTTACTGTTAAATTAGGACGGTAAAGTATACAAGTTGAAGAACGTGGTACTGAATTTTTTACTCTAATCATTTATATATTGTGCATTTGTAGGTAATGTTGGTTGAGGTATTCACCGGAAGAGATCTACAAAACTTCATATACAATGTGCCCAACGTACCTCAACAGCCCGATAGGTAATTTTATCACTTAATGTTCCTAGTTTGGTGTACTGATTATGTTCACAATTATAATTAACAGATACCTAAACAGTCTTTTATTCAGTGATAGTTGTGGTGCTTTCATGTTGGACTTCATGGAGAAATGGGATGGTTCACTCAGTCACCCAAAAGAGAAGGTGAAGCCCAATTCTATTTTTTACATGGGCCTTATTTATTTTTTTCCCCGAATGAAGAAAATACCGAATTACTAAATCACACAATCTCCTCGATACTCTTCGTTAATCATTTAATTCTCTGTTTTCTTCTAAACCATTGGTGCATTGTTAATCTAAGCACCCACTGGTCATTAGTCTTCAAAGGAAGAAATGGTTCTTGCCTTTAAAGGTTTCAAAAAATATATTTGTAAAACTGATCCACATTCCTACATACTTTTGTTCAAGGGTTGAAACTGGAGGGTCTTCAATTCCAATACATGCAAACATAATTTAAAAAATTAATGCAACCACAAAATGCATCCACTATAACGTTTTCCTTCCTCTTCACTGCACTCCCCATTCTGTTTTTACACGTTTTCCAGCTTATACCTTTCTTTTTTCTTTTTGCATCTTTTAAACCCATGTTTGTGTGCAAGTACTTCGCTTTCCGATCTCTCCCCGCTAGGCTGCAATGTCGTAGTGTCAATAGCGGGAAGACCAGGGGACTATGGCACGTGTTGAAACAAAGAGAGCGGTAAGCACCCCCTTTAGGCAACAAAATTTTCAACCTTAGAACCCCCTAATGCAGTATACCCTTAATGTGTGCCATTTTTTTGAAAGAGAAAGCATCCAGCTCTAGTGAGTTTTAATCTAACATGAAGTAAGCAATAAAATGAACCATGTAATGAATGATATAGAAAATGTTTGACATCCACTGTATAATGGGTCCTATCGAGTAGAAACCAGCTTTGCTAGATGAGGTTTAAATGAATAGCATATTCTTAAATATTTTCAGACAGTTTTTCATTGTCAAAGAATTCAGTATGAGATCAGTAGCTTAAATCATCAGTCAACCTTGTTTTTCCTACATCACCTAACCAATTAGATACGCAAATACTGGACTCCTGTCATTTTAAATGAACATATTGCAGTTTATATGGTCACTTCACTGTACTTAGTGGTGCTCATTAAAAATGAACCGAACACAAAAGATACTGAAACTACGACATATTGAAATGAATGATTAAAAAATTTCAAAATAAATAGTCACTTTAAGATTACTTTTGGAATGTCAGAAAAAAGGTGCGTGCCATTGAGTGTTTGGAATCAGTAAAAAGGGATAACTATTTTGGGACAGGGAGATCTTTCGTATTATTAGATTTGTTTTGGTTTTGTTTATGTTCTGTCTCTGTGCTGATCTGACCAAATTGCTAACATATTTCCCAAGGATGAAGCTACCTGTTTATGCAATATTTCACATATAAAAGTTTAGTATCACCGAGATTTTGTGCATATGCCAAATTCAACATTGTTGAAAAAGTTTTCTTTATCAAATATATAGTTTCTGCAACACTAGATTCCTATCTATTTACACTTATATGTATTCATGCATGAAGTCCATTTCCCTATCCTATATTCATGATTTGTCTTTACCTGGTTTAATTTGCAGGTGGATGTTGATAGATTACGTGCAATTATTGCTTCAAATTTGCTTTCAGATGACAATAACAAAATGAAGGATTTTGTAAAGAACAAAGCACTTTATCCATTTGGTCAAGCATGTTGATTTCAAGTAAGCTTCCATCAGCTTACTTGTGGTTAGTAATTTCTTTTATTTTTTTTATTTTTATGATTCTAACATCACCTCCATCAGCCAACAAGGTACCATTTACCTCAAGGAACCTCACATACCAGTATTTGCCCAGTTGGAAGCTAGAGGAAGTGGGATAGGACGATCGTTGAATTTTCTAAAAAGTGGTACCTGAAATGATGTGGGATATGGGACATTTGTATTGTTGAATAGTGTCATTTTTTTTTTTCATGTATTTTGCACTCTGTTGGTGTTAGCTATTTTTAAAGTTTTAAAGAATAGTAGCTTTGCAACTTTTGATTGTGGATTAGGTTGGTATATTTTTGCAACTATTGTATGGCTTATTATATTGGCATCTACCTTACATGAAATCAAATGAAGTTGCTCTTTTGGGTTCTCAGGAATTAGTATTGTATGGCTTATTATATTAGGGTCTCAATGAAATTTCTTTCACTACTATATTAATGTACTAATTTCAAATTTGATGGAGTTTAAAACTGAAGCAGTTTATAATGAATGAAAAATTGGTTTGGATCTTCCTTGGTTCCATGGTGTCGATAAATGGATAGTTTAATGAATGAAAAATTGGTTTGGATCTTCCTTAGAGAAAACATGGTACCTTGACGCCAAAAAGAAGTACCTTCAGTTCAAAAAACGTGGTCCCTTTGGGAAAAAAGTAGTACCTTTACAAAAGGTACCTATTTTTGCAATTGAAAATGGTATTACACCCCACATCGCTAATTAAGTTGCACATTACATCCACAAACAGCTCCATTAGCGCCATGAATAAGTGTTTAGAGAAAACGTGGTACCTTGACGCCAAAAATGAGTACCTTCAGTTCAAAAATGTGGTACCTTTGGAAAAAAAGTGGTACCTTCGCAAAAGGAATTTATTTTTGCAGTTGAAAACGTGGTTTTATACCCCACACCGCTAATTAGGTTGCACATTACATCCATAAATAAGTGTTTAGAGAAAACGTGGTACTTTGACGCCAAAAAGAAGTACCTTCAGTTCAAAAAACGTGGTCCATTTGGGAAAAAAGTAGTACCTTTACAAAATGTACCTATTTTTGCAATTGAAAATGGTGTTACACCCCGCATCGCTAATTAAGTTGCACATTACATCCACAAACAGCTCCATTAGCGCCATGAATAAGTGTTTAGAGAAAACGTGGTACCTTGACGCCAAAAATGAGTACCTTCAGTTCAAAAACGTGGTACCTTTGGAAAAAAAGTGGTACCTTCGCAAAAGGAATTTATTTTTGCAGTTGAAAACGTGGTTTTATACCCCACACCGCTAATTAGGTTGCACATTACATCCATAAATAAGTGTTTAGAGAAAACGTGGTACCTTGACGCCAAAAAGAAGTACCTTCAGTTCAAAAAACGTGGTCCATTTGGGAAAAAAGTAGTACCTTTACAAAATGTACCTATTTTTGCAATTGAAAATGGTATTACACCCCGCATCGCTAATTAAGTTGCACATTACATCCACAAACAGCTCCATTAGCGCCATGAATAAGTGTTTAGAGAAAACGTGGTACCTTGACGCCAAAAAGTGGTACCTTTAGTTCAATAACATGGTACCTTTGGGAAAAAAGTGGTACCTTTGCAAAAGAGATTTATTTTTGCAATTGAAAATGGTTATACCCCACACCACTAATTAGGTTGCACATTACATCCATAAATAAATCCATTAGCGCCATGAATAAGTGTTTAGAGAAAATGTGGTACCCTGACGCCAAAAAGAAGTACCTTCAGTTCAAAAACGTGGTACCTTCGCAAAAGGGACTTATTTTTGCAATTGAAAATGGTATTACACCCCACAGCGCTAATTAAGTTGCACATTACACCCATAAATAGCTCCCGTTAGCGCCATGAATAAGTGTTTAGACAAAACGTGGTACCTTTTTTCCAAAAAGTGGTACCTTCAGTTCAAAAACGTGGTACCTTTGGAAAAGAAATGGTACCTCCGCAAAAGAGACTTATTTTTGCAATTGAAAATGGTATTACACCCCGCATCGCTAATTAAGTTGCATATTACATCCACAAATAGCTCCATTAGCGCCATGAATAAGTGTTTAGAGAAAACATGGTACCTTGACGCCAAAAAGTGGTACCTTTAGTTCAATAACATGGTACCTTTGGAAAAAAAGTGGTACCTTTGCAAAAGAGATTTATTTTTGCAATTGAAAATGGTTATACCCCACACCGCTAATTAGGTTGCACATTACATCCATAAATAAATCCATTAGCGCCATGAATAAGTGTTTAGAGAAAATGTGGTACCCTGACGCCAAAAAGAAGTACCTTCAGTTAAAAAACGTGGTACCTTCGCAAAAGGGACTTATTTTTGCAATTGAAAATGGTATTACACCCCACAGTGCTAATTAAGTTGCACATTACACCCATAAATAGCTCCCGTTAGCGCCATGAATAAGTGTTTAGACAAAAAGTGGTACCTTTTTTCCAAAAAGTGGTACCTTCAGTTCAAAAACGTGGTACCTTTGGAAAAGAAATGGTACCTCCGCAAAAGAGACTTATTTTTGCAATTGAAAATGGTATTACACCCCGCATTTCTAATTAAGTTGCACATTACATCCATAAATAGCTCCATTAGCGCCATGGATAAGTGTTTAGAGAAAACGTGGTACCTTGACGCCAAAAAGTGGTACCTTTAGTTCAATAACATGGTACCTTTGGAAAAAAAGTGGTACCTTTGCAAAAGAGATTTATTTTTGCAATTGAAAATGGTATTGCACCCCACACCGCTAATTTTCTTGCACATTACATCCATAAATAGCTCCATTAGCGCCATGAATAAGTGTTTAGAGAAAACGTGGTACCTTGACGCCAAAAAGTGGTTCCTTTAGTTCAATAACATGGTACCTTTGGAAAAAAAGTGGTACCTTTGCAAAAGAGATTTATTTTTGCAATTGAAAATGGTTATACCCCACACCGCTAATTAGGTTGCACATTACATCCATAAATAAATCCATTAGCGCCATGAATAAGTGTTTAGAGAAAATGTGGTACCCTGCCGCCAAAAAGAAGTACCTTCAGTTCAAAAACGTGGTACCTTCGCAAAAGGGACTTATTTTTGCAATTGAAAATGGTATTACACCCCACAGCGCTAATTAAGTTGCACATTACACCCATAAATAGCTCCCGTTAGCGCCATGAATAAGTGTTTAGACAAAACGTGGTACCTTTTTTTCCAAAAAGTGGTACCTTCAGTTCAAAAACGTGGTACCTTTGGAAACGAAATGGTACCTCCGTAAAAGAGACTTATTTTTGCAATTGAAAATGGTATTACACCCCGCATCGCTAATTAAGTTGCATATTACATCCACAAATAGCTTCATTAGCGCCATGAATAAGTGTTTAGAGAAAACATGGTACCTTGACGCCAAAAAGTGGTACCTTTAGTTCAATAACATGGTACCTTTGGAAAAAAAGTGGTACCTTTGCAAAAGAGATTTATTTTTGCAATTGAAAATGGTTATACCCCACACCGCTAATTAGGTTGCACATTACATCCATAAATAAATCCATTAGCGCCATGAATAAGTGTTTAGAGAAAATGTGGTACCCTGACGCCAAAAAGAAGTACCTTCAGTTAAAAAACGTGGTACCTTCGCAAAAGGGACTTATTTTTGCAATTGAAAATGGTATTACACCCCACAGTGCTAATTAAGTTGCACATTACACCCATAAATAGCTCCCGTTAGCGTCATGAATAAGTGTTTAGACAAAAAGTGGTACCTTTTTTCAAAAAAGTGGTACCTTCAGTTCAAAAACGTGGTACCTTTGGAAAAGAAATGGTACCTCCGCAAAAGAGACTTATTTTTGCAATTGAAAATGGTATTACACCCCGCATTTCTAATTAAGTTGCACATTACATCCATAAATAGCTCCATTAGCGCCATGAATAAGTGTTTAGAGAAAACGTGGTACCTTGACGCCAAAAAGTGGTACCTTTAGTTCAATAACATGGTACCTTTGGAAAAAAAGTGGTACCTTTGCAAAAGAGATTTATTTTTGCAATTGAAAATGGTATTGCACCCCACACCGCTAATTTTTTTGCACATTACATCCATAAATAGCTCCATTAGCGCCATGAATAAGTGTTTAGAGAAAACGTGGTACCTTGACGCCAAAAAGTGGTACCTTCAGTTCAAAAATGTGGTACCTTTGGAAAAAAAGTGTTACCTTCGCAAAAGGGATTTATTTTTGCAATTGAAAATGGTATTATAACCCACACCGCTAATTAGGTTGCACATTACATCCATAAATAAATCCATTAGTGCCATAAAGAGTACAAACTTTATTCCAATCTATCTAACTTGAGGGAATGAGTAATACAAAATATTGTCCAACATCACTTAAAACATTACACATAAGCTAATTTTTTTTTTTTTTTTTTATTCTATAAGATATCCTAAAAACAATTATTCTCTCCCTAATAGGTAAAGAAGCTGCTTTTAATCCAGTTCCATTATGAAATAGTACTTTGCAAAAAGTTCTCCTTACCTGATTTGTGTCCATAGTTCTTCAAAGTTTTTCTCCCGGAACGGAGCTCTCAACGACTACAACTTCCACCAGCGTTCCTTAAGCAATTTGATAGAGTTTTACCTTCCAAGTCTATAATTAGGAGTTATGCAAGCAAATCGTAGCGGGTTGAAGTGAGAGAGGTTAATAACACAAAATATTTTTACAAGGGTTAGCATGAATTTATGGAAGACAATTCACTAGAGTTCGAAAATTTCCTAGTATCTTATTATATATACTGAGGAGATTTCCTAGTATTTTCTTATATATGAAGGAAGAACATTTGATGGTTGAAGACAATGGCAAGCAGCAAAATCCTATACGTCGGAGGGGTCTCATGGCCTCACGAAATGTCGTGAGGAGTTAAAAATGGAATAGTTTCAAATATGAGGAGTTAAAAATGGAATAGCTTATAATGCTATAATGAATAGAAGCCAAATAATAGCAAAATAAATACAACGTACATTTGTAAAAACACTTTTGAAACGTTTATTGAGGGAAAAATAAATACACACTTGAACACATTGAAAAATAAATACACACCAAATCTCGATGGAGGTGACGACGATTACATGCCAGGTTAGTTTTACAAAAAAAAATGAACCATCGATGTGAGGAGTTATAAATGGAATAGTTTTGAGAACGATTGAGAATGTAAAACAACTACTTTCAATCCATGCATCTCTTAATGAGTACTTTCGTTCTATATACTTTCGATCCATAGATCAACAACTGAGATTTACTAGTGCTAATGTTATGGTTTTGTGCATATGCCATATGTCTATTTATAGAGCCCAATTCACAGACATGTGAATGAATTTTACCCATATCATGATTTGGCAAAAGGGACTTACACATTTCTTACTTTGGCATGA